TGCCTCATGGAGCCCAGATGCTGCAATCAGCAGGCAAATTATAAAAGGGAGGTGCTGTTTCTGCTCAACTGCCTATGTTGATGAACTGCAGCTTAGATGCTCCATGGTCTCTGTGGCACTTTTTGGACATGTGCAGTTTGACCCTGGACTGGGGACTTGACATACTGACTTGCTGCCAGGTAGGCCAGGGATTCAGGACCAAATGGCTCTGAACAACAGCAGCGATTGTTCCTTAAATACATACCTGTTGCAATAACAGCCATTGCAGCAACTGCTTACAGAATATTAGAAAAGGCAGTTTAATGAAGGGATAATAGAGAGCAACACTCTCTCCCACAAAATACTCTTTTCCATCCTTGCTGAGCTAGGCCTAGCTGGCTCTATTCTCTTCCTTTATTCTTCCATATGTTTGCTCTGGTCTGTGTTGCATTGCACTTCTCCTGAAATCCAGTTTGTTTAGGATATTTTCTAAAATTATTTTAGAAATTGAATTTCTGTACTACCCTTCATGCAAGGATCACGGGGTGGTTTACAATATAAAAACTCAAAAATACATAACATATTAACAAACAAAAGCAATACACCCCTCCCCAGTTCAAAGGGCCATAGGTGGTTTAATCAGACAAAGGCCTTGGAGAAGCATTTTTTGCTTGGCACCTAAATATATATAATGAAGGTGCCAGATGAGTCTCTGTGGGAAAAGCAAAAAAGGGGGGGGGAAGGAGGAGCTGCTGCTCTTGCTCTCTCACACACATTATTGTGGGGAATGCTCTTTGCCTTTTTGGCTGGAACACAAATGTGTTGGGTTTTTAATACTTTTGATATGTTTTGATTTTCTTTTCATTTGCATTGTTTCTATTTGCATCTGTGTTTATTCTTTGTAATCTGCCTTTGTGGCCAACAGCGAGAGAGTATGGGAGTTGCAGTACAGCAGTGTCTGACGGGCACCATGTTGACTATCCCTCATATAGGCCATATGTGCCTTTTTGTTCAACTTGTGAATTGTGTGAGCAAATAAAATAAGAGACAGAAGAAGTTAAATGGTTGCTATCCTGAAAGTAAGTTCATATCAAACCCCAGTGCTTTTTTCTGGGGGGACGCAGGGGTACGCATACCCCTAAACATTTTGTGAATCTAAGTTTGGACTCACTGAGGGGCAGTATTTCAATGTGAGAAGGAAAATGAGAGTACCCCTAAATGTTTTATTATTTTTAGAAAAAGCACTGTCAAACCCTATAATATACAGTATACAGACCTATAAAATAAGTTTGTTTCATTTAGAGGCAAACTTGGGTGTTAACCCGAGATGCAGTGTGTGGTTATAGTGCTATTTCCCAATCCATTCTCGATGCTGCAGTAAATAAATAAATACATATGTTTTACTTTTTTGTATTTTTGCAGTTGGCAAAGATCATCCAAAGATGTTTCTGCTAGAAACTAGAAAAAGCCAAATGTAACAAGGGTGAATGGGGGTGGGGGATATGTTGTGTTAGTCCCTTGAGCAAAAATAAGTTTTGTGGCATCTTAAAGACTTAATAAATGCCGTCCATACTCCTATGTATACTTGCTTGGGAAAGCAAATCCCATTTGAAGTCAGTGGGGCTTACGTCTGAGTAAGTATGCACAGGAACAAGCTGCATAACAAAGAATCATGAGCAAAGGCACAAAGAGTTCCTTTAGGAGAGATATAAGCAAAACAACTACAAATGCTCGGTCTTCCACCTTGATCTCCAAACCAGAAGGGGGTAAAAATGCCCACGGCCTGCAGGGTTTCAGTTCTGAGGGGGAAATGGTCCTTTATAGTTGCTTACACAATGAAACAGTTACTGCTTCCTTTGAATCAATCTGCCTCAGGCAGCCACCTGTTCAGGACACATTGGCAGAACTGAAAGGAGGCCATGGATTGAGAGTTCTAAGTGACACAGATGCAAAAAAAGAGAAAAAGAAAAGAGAGACAGAAGACAGCACAGCTGTAAATTCAAGGGCTGGCAGGAGTCTCTAAAGACTTCTTTGCAGCACAAGCAGATGCATCTAGCACACTTTATTAGATTTTGGATCTGGCCTTAAGCCTCATTTACTTGTGCCGGATTGTGACAGCCCTAGTTTTTGCTATTCAGATATGAGGAATAACTGTGAATAAATACAAAAATTTTGCGGTTGAATGTGATTCCCTAACCATGTTTTGTTAAGCACATGTCAAGAAAAATGACTGAATCACACATATAGATTTAAGCAATGATAGTGTTGTGACATTTCTAAATAATATGGTTTCCAGCAGGGCTTAATTTAAATGAAGAACTCCGGTTGATCAGATAGCTCTGCCCGTGAGAGTTTGCATCATTTATCATAAATTGCAAACAGTTTTATCTAGAACACATCAGCGAAGACACAGTGTTGATGAAAATGACAAGAAAATGACAGTGTGGCATATTACGTTTAATCAAAGTGGCAGGAAGGCTGATCATTCCCCCAATACCTGTATTCTAAAGCTCCATCTTTTTACATTTGCTGCTGTACTGTGTCAAAATCAGACACACTGTCAAATTAAAAATGGGCAAACATTCACTAGTCTGATTTAGAATTAAGAAAAAAAGAAATCAGCATTAACTGTGTGTGTGTGTGTGTGTGTGTGTGTGTGTGTGTGTAAAGGTTAGTCTATTTCCCCCAGTCAGTCCTGAATCAGGCTGAAAGGAGTCTTCACACATTCAGGGTTATCAGTAAGCTTATAGGTTCACTGTGTCTCCCTGTTTTCACCCGTGTAAAATGTTTTGGAGGTGTAAAATACATTCTTTTGCACAGGGGCTTGCTTCATGGCTAGGTTTAAATCAAACACCTGCTAGAAAATTGTGATTTTAATATACTTTATTTAAAAAGTACACAGTTTTAAACCATTTTCCATGGAACAAAGCAGAAAATAATGACCATCTGTTTCTATCTACTGAAGTCCTGTTCTTGATGAATTGTGACTATTGTATGGCAAATCCATCTTTGCATGATGCACCAAAAAAAGATAAATCTCTCTCTCTCTCTCTCTTTTTTACATAATTTGGAGAGTTTATATCATCCCACCATTTAAAATCATGAAATGCTGATGTTTTGACTATAGTTTCATGTCTTCTAAGTTGCACCTTTTCTCAGTTCACAGTTTATCCATGTATTGTTTAGCATGCCAAGTGATTGCTTCTCAGTCAGTGTCACCTTGAGAAAACGGCCAGAAGCAGAGGAAGCGCAAGAAGAGCAGGCCTAGCACTCAGGCCGAAAACACCACCACATTCTCTGGCATTCTCCTGAAAAACAAACCCACAGTAAGTGAAGCGGGAGAAAAGCAGAGTGTTACAATCGTTCAAGCCAAAATTTACCAACACACACATTTTAATAACACATTATTAACGTTCTAAGCTAAGTGGAATGTGACCCTTACAGCTTTCCTTAACCCTTTTTAATGTTAGAAACCATGAGTGTAGATCTGTCCACAGGCAAAGACAGGAAGCACACGGTCCCCTCTTCGCTCACCAAATGACTGATCTGGTAACGGGGAGGAAGCAAGATGAATAACCACCAAGGCATTAGGCTCTGCACACCCCAGCACACTCTCTCTTTTCTTTTTGGACCCCTGCCACCAAAATCATTGGATGGGGTGAGAAAAATTTGCTTGGGGAGCCAGATCAGGCCCCTAAATGGGGGCTTAACCACCCCTGTTTAAGAAAGAAATATGGGAAAGTCCTTCTTGTGTATACCGAGTCTGCGATAACAATGAAGCACCCTAGCAGAAAACAAACGCAGTGGGAGATGCAGAAAAGGAACAAATACATTTCCGCTCATTCTTAAGACACCTTTTCAATGTAAACTAAAACACATACCTCAGGATGAAATCCATGGCAAGACTCTGGACGTCTTCTAATCTTGTGGGATTTTAAGCGTTCACATTTTAGGGATTCATTATGTTCTCAGAAGTTAAGGATATGCCTTAAAAATCAGGATTTATCAAGCTCAAAGAAACGCCCAAACCCCTCTAGTCCAATGCTTGTCATAAAACAGGAACATCTACTTGCAGTACCACCTCCCCACAGGTGCCAACTCCCTGGGGCCCCGGGTGCCCAGGCACCCACATATTTCAGTGCCAGGGCCATGCATGTGGCATGGCACCCATGGCCCTGGGTACCCACAGTCGCGGGGCCAGGCTGGCACTTCTGTTTGGTGCAGAGGTGTGTTCACAAAGCAAAAACCAGATAAGTTAAACCAACTGGAATATCAGATTTGCCACCCTTCCCAGTACCCTACTATTAAAATAGATTATCTAATCTAGCATGCTATCAAATGAAACCTCATCACTTCTGCTACACAGAAAATATAAAATAAATCATCAAATAAAGGTATAGTTTTATCATCTCTCGCATTTACTTTTTTTGCATTCTGGACTTGCTTGCCTTACCAAGAGCATAACTGAGGCAAGTGCTGACCAAGAGCACTGGCCACAGCCCCAAGCTTGCCGCTGCTGCAGAGAGACTATGGCTGTGGCAAACCTGCTATTGTTGAATTCACAAGTGCTCAAGATTTGGCTTTCTTGGTGATGGAATTGCATTGGGGGGGCAGGGAGGTTATATGCAGTCAATTAGCAAACCAATTTACTTTGGACACTTTACTCAAAAGTTCATATCTGCATTGCTTGTCTGAGGTCGTGCCTGCATCAAGTAAAAGGATATACCTTATTTCTATTGGTTCCATGGTAATTGGCAAAACAGACTCGCAGTCACATTCATTACTTACTACCACCATGAAGAGATTGCTGTTTTGAATTTGCTGGATAACGAAGGACCTGTGAAAATAGAGTCAATTCAAATATCAGCCAAAGAAACACAGAGGAAACAATCCTGCATATGTATGTTTACTCAGAAGTAAGACCTACTGTGTTCAAAAATGCTTACTACCAGTTGTGTGTACACAGAATTCCAGCCTTGATTTCTAAGGTACCAATAAAGATTAAGGCATTCTTCACTACTGGAAGCTCAGTGGCAGAGAATTTGCTTTGCCTGCAAAAGGTCACAGGTTCAATCCCTGGCATCTCCAGGTAAATTGTCCCCTGTCTGCAACTCTGGACAGCCTTTGCCAGTCAGTGTAAATAATACTGAGGTACACGGAATGTGTCACTTATGACCATTATTAACAGAAGATAGCAGAAAATATTTTTTTTAAAAAGTCAGATCAGAAGAATTTTTATTTGCAGCAGCCACTAGCCATGGCAATAAAATAAAATAAAATGCACTGAAGATAGAGGTAAAAACTTAACTATACAAAAAACATTTTGGAGGTTTACATGAATAATCAAATAACAGATCTTATTCTAATTGCCCCTGCTAAAATTGTTGCAGTTTTTGCTGTCACCTGATTATCTTGATCTGCTAGAAGAAAGGACACAGTAGCAATGGTTGAGTGACCCAGCATGGACAGTATAAAGACTGAAAGCCAGAAGCACATGGGCCACTGACTCAATATTGCCATCTCCCCATGGACATAACTGTTTTTCCAGCTGAATTTTTTGAAATCGACCCTCAAGTACAGCCGATGGTAGTGGCGCCCGCCCTGTGGAACGCCTTCCCATCAGATGTCAAGGAAATAAACAACTATCTGACTTATAGAAGACATCTGAAGGCAGCCCTGTTTAGGGAAGTTTTTAATGTTTGGTGTTCTATTGTGCTTTTAATTCTGTGGGGAGCCACCCAGAGTGGCTGGGGAAACACAGCCAGATGGGCAGGGTGTGTGTGTGTGTGTAATATTCAATCTTGCATATGTGAAAGCGCATCTGTATTCTGGAATTGTTAAATTTTGCAAATATTGCAAATAGGGTGCCAATGTGTCAAAATGGAAAATAATCATACCATGGACAAAATTTCCTAATCGTGGCCAAATTATTCTGTCACTCAATATCATATAGGCATGGTCAAATTAAATTATTTGTTTTACTGAAGCAAAGTGTTAATAACTGTTGTGATAAACCAGAAAAGTAAACTTTTGGTTGACAATTTTAGTCCAAGTGCTCTCATGACCATCTTGCGATACTAAAGGTAGTAGACCAGTGGGGTTTAAATTTAGCCAAAACCAGTAATTAAATGTCCTACACCAAATCTGCAATTCAACAGAGGAGAGATTTGCCTCCAAGTGCAATGAAGCATTTAGAACATAGGATGGAACAGAAAAGAATTGCCTTAGGAACTTAGACTGAACAGCTTCTGTAGATCCAAGGTGAGCGCCTGTCCAAATTTGAGCCCCATATAATAACACTGCTGTGGGTTTAGCTTTAAACACTTCAAGTGCTGATGGTATGTGCTTGTCACCTTTTGTACAAAAAGAGCTGTCAGAATTTTGGCTATTTGAGATGCTTTTTCCTTTGCATATTTCTGATGTGCTCCCCATGACCCTAATGACTGAAAAATAAGGCTGAGGTACAACAGTTTGATCAACTGATTATCCATATACCATCTATGGGCCCTATAGTTTCTTGATAACACCATGACTTTAGTTTTCTTGTATTTCACAGCCAGCTGTTCTCTTTGGGAGTATCCTGAGAATGCCTCCACCAATCTTTTTAGGCCCACTTTTGTTTGAGATAGAAGTACCGCATCATCTGTGTATAATAATATAGAGATGGCTTTTGTGGCCAATTTAGGGGCGTAATACTTCGGGGATGTTAAACTTTGGATAATATCATTTATATATAAATTAAACAGTGTGGGAGCTAGGATACAACCTTGCTTAACTTCCTTTGTGGCTGGTACGGATCTTGTGAGTTGCCCATTTGTAGAGCAACGCACTTTCAACACAGTGTTTTTATACAGACATTTAATCAAGAACAGTAATCTTTTATCTATACTTGAAGAGTTGAATTTATTGCACAGTCTTACTCGAGAGATTGAATCTAATGCAACTTTTAAAAATGTAAGTCAACAAAGTATTTTAAATTAATCCATAGATAACAGTATGGGGGGGAGGGGAGAGAAATTAAGCATTGAAAGAACTGCTCATGCATGATGTAGAAATACCAGGAGCTTAGAAATTACATCTGATTTCAAAAGGCTCCTATAAAAGTCTATCCTTGCCCTGTCAAGAGAGGCGCATCCCAGTGTTCTCCTATCTCCCCACGGTAGTAACTGTGGTTAACCTCTATGCTAATCTTTACATCAGTTCAGTATAACATGCTGTGACATGTATTGCCACCAAATCCAGAATAGATGTTTTCAGTTTGGTGGTCTGGCAGGGAATGTCTGAAGTTAAGTGAGGACTTGACCATGTGTAGATGTGGACAAAAGCATATTTCCACTCAGACGTCTCTACTTAAAATACATATTGTCTTACTAAGAAAATGCTCTGCTTTTTCCAAAAATCACAGAAGATGGGGGGAGGGGGGCAGACGTGAAAGGGAGGACGGCGTCTTTGAACCAATTCTGGGAATGAAACAACTGGGAAGTCTGCAATTAAAGTATCGTCAACAGAAAGATTAAATGCTACTTGGTATTCTTCAAACCTACGGAACCTCCATTAAAGTTACACTTACCCCTATCTGTAGTATGAGAGCTTTGTGATGATAAACACAATGTGCATTTTACAGTATCTCTCTCACACACAGGGTTTGAACTTTCTACAGAAACCTCCAAGCAGCTGGACCATGTAGGGAGGCTGACATCACTGCAGCGGAGCATCTGTGGCTTTGTGTGTGGGAGAGAAGGGGCCAATAAAAAGGAAAAAGGAGGAAAATTCTTTCACAGAAAATAACAGCTACATTTTTATATACGGTGCTATCTCAGAAAGTTATAAATATATCGGGTCTCGAGGGGAATAAAATGCAATTCCCGTTTATCCATTTCAAGAACTGAAACAACCCAAATCCTACATGTTGTACAATATTATACAGGGATTGTATGTGTAAAATTAGCTTAGGAGAAGCCTGAAAGGAGATACTCTGTAGTGTTGACACAATTGCTGTTTGCCTTGAATCGCTCATGGGATTTTTTTTTAAAAGAGGGTTTGGTGTGGGGAGGGCTGCCATGTTGAGGTCTGACTACAGTACGGTATTGTGCAGACTGCCCCACGCATGGAAATGCTGCCAGAGGACATTCAAAGCATGGGAGGAAATGTAACATGACAGACACTGGTGGGCTGACAGTCTCACATCGTGCATGCCGAGGATGTACTGTAGTAGCTTTTGTGCTAGAAAACATTAAAGCCTTCCCTAGAGCTTCACCTACCTCACGGAGCCAGCATAAAAAGGAACCAGGCTTTAAGGTGGCAGTTAAGTGTGCATTATTAGATGTTAAAGGGGAAGGATTTCTGGCAATTGTAGCAAAGAACCCACTTTCAGCAAGTTCTTGGTTTTCAAAGAGAGCTCACAAATATTTGAATCGGCACCTATGTGTATAAGTTTTAACTGCAGGCGAAAACATCACAAAAACCAGCAGGAACACGGGGCACCTTGCTACTAAACATCTTGCCAGATCATGTATTTCCCCAGCCAGATACCCAACAGCCAAAGAATTAATGGCTACTTCCCTATTTGGAACAATACAGCAATTAATGCAAAGACCCACATGAACGCCTCCCCCCTCCCTAATCCACCAGGAACTGATTGAGGTAACATTCAAGTACTGACTCCTCTGATTCACAGCAAGTTTCAATTCAGCTGACAACACACTATGAAGAAGAAACCATCCCAGAGAGAGCCAAAGAAACCAGTCCAGCTTCAAGGTACATTTAGAAACAGATAATAAGCATCGTCATCACAAAAACAACATCTCACCTCTTCCGACCTCTCGTATGTCTCACTAAAATAAATCTTCCCATACTGCTATTCAAGCTTCAAACATTATACCTCTGGAGATCAGATAACCTTCACTGGCTCCAGCTGACCCCAGTTAGCACTCCATGGACTAGAATGGATCGGATTTCTAGAACTGGGCTGGCAGGTCATTAGCATCAGAGCTGAACCATTTTCAACTCCTTTCAGGGCTACCCCATCCTACTATGACAAAGCTCTCTGTGTACAATAAATAGACCACACACAAACCACGTGCTGTCTGTAGAAACTGCAGATAAAACTTTTTGGATTTCCTCAAGTCGCTCTTATCAAAAAGTTTTCATGTGTGCATAATTTAACAAAGTATTGGCTGCGTCCCCGTTCCCAGAGCCTAATCTCGACACAAAGCTGCAATGGTGAATTTGTATAAACGCCCAGGCAGTTCCACGCTGGGTCATAAGCAAAGGATTAGGTTGTCACTGTCAGATGAGGATGAAAGACGTGGCTGGAGTAGTGCTCTGTCTGTAATCTCTGATGTGCAATTCATCAGAGGAATTTATGCTGCCTTTCTGCTCGGTAGAACAGCAGGTCACATTATTCACAAATATGCAATGGGTTTCCCATTCAGTAGATTGACTTCAAACAGTTATGATGCCTGGGAAAAAATTACTGAGATATGCCACATGGTATGTTTTCTGATGCAATTCAGGCAAGTTCTCAAATGCATGTTTTTACTATAAAGGGTGAAACCCACGGACTGGAACTGGGAGTTCTAGCTTCACATCTGGACATGACTGGACTCCTCAATGACAACACTCATGGCTACCAAGGCTGGGTCCTTAAAAGGGCGCCTGTAGAGTCCAGAGCCATGTGAAATGAAATAGTTTTTTCTAGTGTGGCTTTCTGCATCACTGTACCATTGTGGTGGAATTGTAGTAGTAGCAGCTAGTTGGTTATTACCCAAATGTCTCCAAGTGACTTACAACACACACATCATTAGTGCAAGCTCGGAAGCCTGCCAGATGGAATGATCCTCTCTTCTCCTCCCCATGGCACTGCTGTGGGGGTTATTCTAACACCCTTAGCCAATTTTGGGAGTGTGGGAAGGGCACAGGGGGAAGAGAGGGGGAAAGCCCCATTGCTTGTGCTGACAGGGCACATTAAGTGAATCCCACCCATTATGCCACATAAAAACAAAGTGAAACAACTCCCACAACAGTCATAGCGAGCTTAGCAGCACACTAATAACAAAACAACATCGCCTTTGTCTATCAAAAGTCTG